AATTAAAATTAACATTAAATATGTGCTGATAGCCTTCTATGGATCTAGTTCCACCGAATTAACACTTTACCCACCAAAACAAGTGAAAGGCACTATACATATTTTGATTGTATTTTGGCCTCAAATGTTTGCACAGGTAAGCTCTCGCGGCCACAACGGAGACACCACATCTCACCATTCGCATGGGTTTTCGCGTAGCACGAGTCTGATGTGTGACCGTCACGCCCACAGCGAAGACATTCCAGCATCTCCTCTTCCTCTTCACCACTAAGCGAGTCTACGTCGTCTCCTCCACCGACCGATTCCTCTTCTCCTGGTTCGATGATCTCACCCAGCACCGCGTGAGTCTTGGCGTAACACGACGCTTCTCCGTGGCCCTCACGACCACATCGCAGACACCAGTTTGATCCGTTGGCGTGGCTTTTCGCGTAGCATGACTCGGCCGTGTGGCTGTCGCGCCCACACCGTAGACACTCAAGCGCTGCCTCGGCGTCGTCGTCCGCTGCAACACCAGCTTTCTTGTCTGGGCACTGAGCGGCAAAGTGGCTCTTGCTTCCGCACACAAAGCACTGGTCGGTGCTGCCACGCAACTGCCGTGATAGTGCGTCGATATCACCTGGTGTCAAGTCAACGCGCGAGTAGCTGCCTCCTCGAACATTCTCAATGCCATACTTGAGCATCCATTTCTTCGTAAACTTGTCCTCGTCGAAAGGATCTGAATTCCGAATGGTTTCGGCAATGCGCAGTGGTCGATAGAGCCGTGTCCATGCTGAGCCCTTGCCACTCTTGTGTTCTTCTAGTCGCTCATCGACGTTAGCGCGTGCCGTCTTACCGACGTAAAACTTGCCTTCGACCAGCGCCAGCACGTAGATCGTCACGAGATCTTCCGAGGTTGAACTTTTGGATGCTGCAGCCCTGTGTCTCGTCACTATATGGGCCTTGGTGTATCGGTAGTGTTTGGTGTAGTTGGAGGCTGTGCTTTTGGCTTTGACTGTGGCTTTGAACTTGATCTTCGAACCCTTGGCGTTGGACTTGACCTTTGTTTTGGAAAACCGTGTCGCTCCTTTAGCCTTGAAGGACTTGACCTTCTGCTTGGCTTTGGTTTTGGTGTACTTGTTGGAAGGCATTTTGGAAACTGTATAGAGGGTCAACGTGTCCATCCTCGTTCACAAGACTGCGGACCGATCGAGGACGACGCTGAAACGTACCAAGTAGCTCTCAGCCAATGAGTTTCGATCTTACGTCGAAAAATAGTTTCCATGATTGCCGGTGTCATAGGTTTTTGGCGATTTCCTATACCTGGGCAAGATCATGAAGATCGAGAGCTTCTAATATTTCTCTTGAGTTCATGAATGGGACATAAGATCAACAGTAATTACGGAAGAAAAACAAGCATCGGCTGTCAGATCCACTTGTTGCAGAGCGTGTTGAAGTGCATACGGCACATTCTGAGAAACAAGCGAGGGCCATGATCAACAGTCATGCTACGCGAAGACACACGCCACCGGAGCA